CGTAACTGATAAGAGATAACGACTTGGTGTCTGTGGCAAAGTTGTAGTATTCGACCTGCTCTACATTTCTGCCGAAGAAGCAAGTCTCTTATTTCTTATCAGCTTCACTAAAAATAAGGTGGGAAAATTTCGCGATTTTCGCGGTTTTTCGCGGTTTTTCGAGTTTTTTCACGGAACTGATAAGAGATAAGCAATATTTGCTGCAGCAAAATTATAGCAAACCTCGAGTATTACAACTTTACCTCAGACACTATTTTGTTATCTCTTATCACAGTCCAGATTTCATATGAAGTACATATGGGGCCCTGGAGTCCCCAAAGAACAGAAATAGTGTGAAGAACCGTCAAAGTGTTAAATGATGTAACTAGTGACATGGTAAAATGTTTACAAATTTTTAAATACATTCTGCTGACTACGTGATGGTTTAATGTAATCACCTTTAATGCCTCCATGGATGCATCTCATGTGAGTCAATGGATTTTATTTTACGTAAATCTCGAAAAAGCGAGAAAAAAAACGGTGAAAACAGCCCATTTTGTAAACGATGTTACAGTCATGTGTTTACCCTACAAGAATTTTGCGATACATTGAGGTTAACGCCGACATATCGCATTGCGTAAACCTGTAAATTCGAATGGTATCCAACTTCATTACATTGAAAATATAATTTTAAATGGTTTTATTTAAACTTTTCATGTTGCTCATCGTTGCTAATGAGAAATAAAAACTTATTTAAAATAATTATTGAGGAGAATAATCAGCCATTGCAGCCTTTAAAAATACAACAAGCTAAATTTGGATGAAGTTGATCGCAGTTCATGCATTTTGTGACAACTATTGCAGAAGGCTGGCGATACGTTTGCGTAAACGTTGTCGCAAAATTCTTGTAGGGTTAGTGCCACAGTTTTTCCATTGTGATGACAAGCATGAAACTTTATTTTCAAACAATGCCTTGCAGCGTGAGTAATTTATAACAGAGAATTGTAAATTGTTATTGCCATAAAAAATGCTATTTACTCCTACGCATTTGTATAAAAATGAATGGCCACATTGTACAAACTTTCGATGAAGCGGAAAAAAACGAACATCACCACATCGTCGAAGCTTTACATTGGATTTATTGCCTGGCAGCTACTTTAGTCATTTTTTTCAAATAGGATTACATTAAATTTTAATTGAATCGTAGGGCGGTTGGTGTGCAGGGAGAGCGAGAGTGTGAGAGACGAAGATGCGGATGATGTGTAATTGCATACAGGTTTTAATTACGTTTTCGCGAAGAGTCTCTTTGCAAATGGATCCACTTACATTGGAATTGGTATTCGAAGTGAAAATATTTTCAACACATTGATCATTTGAACAAACTATGGCAGCTTTGTCACAACACAGCACCCATTGAAATTTCACTAGTTTAAGTTTGTGATTATGGAAAGTTTGTAGAGTCATCAAAGTGAACCGGTGTTGTATGCCACAAATCCTCATTTGAAACTAGGAAATATCAAATAATTCGCAGAAAATGTAAGGTCTTATCGGTCACACCACGGTTCGATAGATGTTATATTGTCGTGTAAAATTGAAGCAGTTCAACGTTATCCGCAGTGTTCTGAATAGTTCTTCGAGTTGATTGTATACCGATGCATGACACACTTCTGCTGTGCTAATCTCCACTGTTTTATCATCGGCTGTATATTGTACATCAGCTTTGCTGTAAAAGCTTTCCCAGAAATTTAAACAACGCTTGGCACATTAATCAATGCAATTGCGACAGAGAAAAAAGTCCCAACTCGAATGCTTACTGCTGCCGTCTCCTATTGCAACGTGCAGCAAGCGTATCATACCGTTGGATGATATTAAAAAAGGCAGCTCGTCAACTCTTTTCCGTTATCTCTGCTGCATTCTATGAGATTTTCTTGCCAGTGCGTGCGTTCATAACGGAAAATTGCCAGTGGTTGGTCGATGCTATCGAATGAAATTTATTTTGTAACCATTATCCAAGCGGCACATTGTCAGTGTGGAATTTCTCTATTCTCTTGTTTTTTTTTCGTTTCGCTTGAACATGTGATGCGTTGTGAGATGAAGTTTTTCAGAGAGAGATAGGAAAAAAAGAATGAATCAATTGATTGACCCAGTTCGTGTGGCGACCCATATACAATACATAGTGTTAATTAAAGTATTACATAAATAAAAATGCATTTTTCACAAAACAAATTTTTTCGATTTGTTGGTTTATCTTACTTTCGCATCCACTTGAAAGTTTTATTTGAAAAATGCAAACAAAAAATTGGTTTCAACCAGATGAACTCTTTTAAGTTGGCGAGGGAAAAAAATTGATTCCGAGCGTATTGATTCATTTGCGAGTATGCAAGAGTACGCTCATGTACACCCGAGGATTTTTTATGTTTTTTTCTACTTTGAATAAAATTCCGATTCTGTTCACTTATTCCGTTTGTGGGAATTATAAAGTGCTGACGGTTTCACTCATCTCAAATGGATTTGTGTCAGGTGGAAAAACGCACAAATTCCCTTTTTCCATTTTGTTCACCTTCCATAGAGAGATGGAAGACGTTTAGAGTTTTTCAATAAAGTCGTTTCTCATGAACAAAAACTGCACATTCTTTTTTGTTCATTTTTTCTGCTTTGGCTCTCGCTGTGTTTGTGTTTGGAAGCCCTTAGGTCTACAAAAACATCGAGGAATTTTATACACAGAAAAAGAGACAACACAAAACGCACGAAAAGTAGGTGTACGCCAACAATTTCTATCTTTACAGTATACGACATTATAGTGAGCCTGTGACCGCTACACAATGATTAATATATGGCACAGGCGAAGCCATACAGTCAAACTGTTCTATTTGTTCATCCTTATTTCCCAGTTGACACATTGGCTCAGAAGAAGCCTGTCGGTTCGGATGTGCATATTGTTGGGCTTGGTTGTGATTGCTTTCATTTTCCCAGCGACACAGCTTAAATAATGTATTATAAATGGATTGAGGTTGTGGGAAAAAAACGGTTCATCGGATACAAACATGATGCTGCCGCTGCTGCTGTCCATGCAGAGCAAACACACACACACACACATACACACACACGCTGTTTACACAGCAACATTGAATTGACAGCCAGTAAATTTACAAAACGGTATGTGCGGAGGCGCGCGCGTTCGAGCAAGTGGTAACAATGGAATCTACCGATGAAAATGCATTGCAGAACTTTATTGCACAATAAAAATTTCATCGATATTTTCGAGTTTATTTTCTGCACAGCAACACACAATAGTTGTTGCTCAAACCACTTGCATATTGTGCGTGCGTGTGTATATTAGACTGTACGGAATTTACCCGATTTCAAATCAACATAGCTTGTCTTATTCCTTGTGCCCAACAGAGTATTTTGATATAAAAAATTTATTCCAAAATTATTTCTTCGCGATCAAAATTGAAAAAAATAATAGTAATGATTTGTAAGGTTTTACGCACGAAAGGCAAGATGTCTACTTCAAAAACATTTCAATATCTTCAATACATTCACACATCACCGTTAACTGTTCTTGTGTGTGTCGCAATTTTTTTCTCTACAACACACGTCAATGCGACAATTGACACATAGGCTACGTGTGTGTTTGTTTAGGAATACATTGCCGAGTTCTATTGAACTAAAATGCAAAAGTAGCCTGATTGACCGTTTGGATTGTCACATAAAAACGCGCGGTTTTCAAATTGGTAAAGAAATTTAATTTTTGTGCGCCAATTCGGAATCGGTGTATTTTTGTGTGCCAATTTAGAAAAATGAGTCGTTTCGGATACGGCCCGTTTTTTTGGATTGTCACATAAAAACGCGCGGTTTTCAAATTGGTAAAGAAATTTAATTTTTGTGCGCCAATTCGAAATCGGTGTATTTTTGTATGCCAATTCAGAAAAATGAGTCGTTTCGAAAATGGCTTGTTTTTTTGGATTGTCACATAAAAACGTGCGGTTTTCAAATTGGCAAAGAAATTTAATTTTTGTGCGCCAATTCGGAATAGGTGTATTTTTGTATGCCAATTTAGAAAAATGTGTCATTTTGAAAACGGCTCGTTTTTTTGGTTTTTGAATTGGCGCACAAAAATTGAATTTCTTTGCCAATTTGAAAACCGCGCATTTTTATGTGACAATCCAAACGGTCAATCAGGCTACCTTTGCATTTCAGTTCAATAGAACTCGGTAACGTATTCCAAAACAAACACACACGTAGCCTATGTGCCAATTGTCGCATTGACGTGTGTTGTAGAGAAGAAAAAAATGCGACACACACAAGAACAGTTAACGGTGATGTGTGAATGTATTGAAGATATTGAAATGTTTTTGAAGTAGACATCTTGCCTTTCGTGCGTAAAACCTTACAAATCATTATTATTATTTTTTTCAATTTTGATCGCGAAGAAATAATTTTGGAATAAATTTTTTATATCAAAATACTCTGTTGGGCACAAGGAATCAGACAAGCTATGTTGATTTGAAATCGAGTAAATTCCGTACAGTCTAGTGTATATGCGAATCGAAAGTATGTGAGCCATTTCCCAATTCAACGATTTGTTACACTAATGGCATATTTACTGAATCATTTCAAGACAGAAGTACTCTCATTACAAAGCGGAAAATTCGATGAAATTCTCAACTATTCACCGAAAATGGAATCTATATTTTATGCGATTCATGAATAAATCGGTTTGCTGATGGAACCAATGCTAGGTTTTTGCACTAGCGTCAACAAAATAATTTATTCGTCATATTACATTCTGATGAATTCTCGACGGTAAATAAGGTAGTGGCTAGGAATTTTCAGTAACTTTACCGGATGCTGATGGAATTTCTTCATAGAAACACCAGAACAACATTTCCCAATAGGAAATGCAGTGGACAATACGAGCGATTTGTAATGGATTTTACTTTTGTACGAAAAATAACCGCGCTGAAAACAAAGCGGTTCGGTGTGAGTTTGGAACAAAAGAAAATATTTTCACTCACCTCAATGCCCGTTACACCGAGCGCTTCTTGTAAATTTGACGTCATGCGGAACGGCACTTTCTCTGGTACTCGCAACGTTTTCCCTTTTTCAAAGCACACATTGTAGTCAATGTGCAAAATTTCACCAGTCATTAAATCAACTGCAATGGAAACATTTCACAAAATGATTAAACCATTGTAGTTGAAATGTGACAATCATCGCAGTCACCATTCAAACCAGCCCCGCTTCGTGTTCTTACCTAAAATATTATCCAAATGTCTGTCACCTGTGGTTGTGTAAAACATTGCAAAAATTAATTAAAATCAATTCGCAGAAGTGAAGTTTTTGGAAACGAGAAAACTAGGGAAAGTCTTGGTAGAAATTTTTTTTAGTTTGATGAAGTCAAGACTTTAAAATGGAAAAAAATTCTCGAAAAAAAAACGAAAAAAAGGCAAGAAAAATGCTGTAAGAAAAAGTTTCCATAGCAAAAACTACTATAATAAAAGAAGAGAATTGTTTTCGAGTCAACCTCAAGGTGGAGCGAAAAAAACTTTCAATTGAGATGCACTGTCAATCAACTGACCTAATCCGATGACGTAGCCAATAACACTCATCACAGCAAGCGATTGAGCATACTGAAAATGAAGGTAAAATGGTGTATAATTAGATTGATTTGAACGGTATAAACAAAAACAAAATCGAAAACAATGAAAAAATGCCTTACATTACGAATAACTTGGCGCCATTCTGCTGCGTTGGTACTGTAGCACCTGTTCGACGTAAACAAAAACAAAAAAATCAATCATTTCTTGAGGTATTTTTCTTTTTTTTCGATTTAGTCTTAAAATAGAATTATCACAAACCATAGTTCTTTGGCAAGAAGATCGCGTGGTGTTTCAGCTGATGTAGTGGGAATAAGAAAGAGGAAAAAATAAACACAAAATGTCGTAGTATTAATGTTAATTTGTTTGATGATTGGGTGTAATTTGATTGGCATACCAGTGAGCTCCGCAAGGACTTCCTTTAGTACTTGTAAAGGCCATTCTTTTCGGCTGCTTTGGTTCGCTTTGATATTGTGTTTGTTGAGGAGAGGCGTTAACTTCTGGAAATACAGTTCGGATGGTCGTGGAATTGCTTGCGGTGGCGTATTCTTAGCATTTGTTGTCGCATTTGATGGACTCTTTTCCTTTTTGGGACTCGTCGCTTGACGCTGTTGCCATTTTTTATACAACGCAAATATCGGCGTCATTCCATCCACCCAACTGATTAGACCGGAATGGTTACCAAGAGGCGTAACCGAATAATGTTTTGCTGCCGACGAAAATAATAGAATTTTTATTACATTCTTTGAAAGGACAAAAACAAATGGTTACATAAAATATTGATATTGACATTTACCGCGATATTTGGTAGTTTGTCCGAAAGTGGTTCGTGTTTTGGTCATCATTGAATTGGCTATCGATAAGAATTGCATGATACGTTCATCCAAATGTAAATCTTCCAGACCTTTGAAGAGATAGGTGTATTTACGACCGTCGCTGCCATAAAATGCCAACTTTTTCGGCTTAGTTTTCGTTGGTAAAATTTGTACGAAATTATCAACGGATCGAATGTAAATCCAGCGATTTTGATCGCCATCACTTCGACTTCGGTTTTGATGATTTTCAATTCCAGGCATTGAAATGACGGTATTTTTCATCTGAGCCAACACTGGACTGATGTCCACCATTTTATATTGACTGGATGACCGTTTTTGCGAACGTTGTTGCAGTATGGTGTAAAGTTGCTTGAATTTGACCCATCCGTCGGGTGATAAACTGCCAAAGCTTAATGGTTCCTTCACCGATTGTATTGTCTCTTGAATAGCTGTCGAGAATCGCTCTTGGAATGCCAATTCATTAGCTGTTTCCGCCTTCACGGAAGTCGCTTCGTTTAGACGCTCCATGACAAACAAAATCGGACGCAAAATCACACGGTATTTCTCCGCAAGCACAATACGCTTATTTTCATCCAATTGCTTTGTATTGCTCTCTTCGGTGGCCAATTTCGCCAGGTCATTCTCAAGGATTGCAACTCGTTTAGCACATTCGGAGTACACTTGTGATAACGATGACAACCATAATTCTTCCCACAGCAAGGTGATTCGTTTCAGTTCACGCACCATCAACTGAACCTGTTGCACTTGTTCAGATGCTTGTTTCGAGAGTGTGTCTAGCAGAGAGTTGAAGCAGATGGTCAATGCCGAATTGGGCGATTGGACGTCCCGATGATTGCTGGCGGAGAATGATGATAATTCGGTGATGTTAACACGTTGCTTGTCTTGGGCAGCTCCAACCACAGCCGGGAATATGATTAAGTGAGGTGAATCACGAGCAACACGGCATAACAGCTCTGATACACGCTTTCCAATTGATAAATAACATTTTCATTTCACTAAATTTGTATATATATATATATGTTTCGATAATAAAATACCTTTCGAACGTATGGTTCGTGATGGTTAAGCCGGGAGAAAAGTTGCGGGATGATAATCTGGAATGGTAACAGAAATTAGAAACGATTTTGATGCAAAATAAAATGCTTTCTCACCTTCCATGGTGAAGTTGGTGTGGTTTCCAGTCCGTGTTCCAAGACTTCCTGCAAACCAAGTGCATGCTTCACAATCAAGCGCAAAATTCTCAACGTCGCAGTAACAACCGAACAATTTTCAGTTGATTTCCCATCATCGGCAATGTTTGTAACATTGGCTAAACCATCGTCCTGCATTTGAGTTGCAAGCTGAAGGTATTTAAAGTAGGCCTCTGCGGCCATTTCATAAAAGCTGTAAATATTTCGATTTGCCAAGCGCCAAATTTCGATGATTTTCTGCAGAGTTTCAGTGGAGCAATCACTCAAAATAGCAATTTGTCGTAGTTGTAGTTCAATGATTTCGGTAGATGAAATATTATCCGAATTAGACACGACCAATTCCTCATCCTCTGCGCTGACTTTGTGAGCGTCGAGTACATTAGAAATAAGATCAATGTCACTGGCACTTGCATTCGGTATTAAATCTTTGATGATGAGCAAATCATTCGATCGCAAGCCGGCTTTTTCATCTTTTTCGGTGCGAAGTTCAACGATTTTACGGCCCCATCGATAGCACCAATTACCATAGGCTCCATATGCTTTGCTCAAATCTGGGCATTGCTGAACGCTGCGACTTAACAGCTTTCCAATCGCCACATCAATCGGTGATATGATCGAAGTCACTTCTTCGCGTTCCGATTTTAAACTGGAGTTGCGCAAACGAACGTCCTCTAATGAATTGATCACCTTGCCAATGGGTTTATCAGCTGATTCAATCAAAAATTGATCGTTCTCCGATTGTAACCATTCGGCCAAGGTTAGGAAAGTACGTGCGATTCGCTGTTGAATCAGAGGTTCATCCTCTGAGCCTTTTATCATTTCCAAGCTGTTACCAATTGTGATGGCATTGGCCGCAGCGAATTGAATAGCTGTCTCTTTCTTATCCGGGTAACTATAGAGCCATTTGGACATTTCATAAGCACTTCTCACGGTATTTTTATTCCAAATATTCGTTTCCCATTGCGGTTTCTCAGCGCTGGCAATCAAACGTTCGCAAATCGAATCCAAATTCGATTCAACGCATCCGATTTGTGGGCAAAAGTTGATTTTATCAAAGAAAATCTCCAACTGTTTTCGGCAATGTGTTAAATTTCCTTCTTTTCTGGTCATTGAGCAAACGTCCAACCGTAGATCAAGGTTAATTTGTTCGCCAACCTCGGTGGCATTATCAAAATACTCGGACCAATTCAAGAGAAGTGTTAACACCGTCGATCCAAATGTTTTGTCAACACATAGACTGCGCGTGTTTTCACGTTCTCCAGTCAACTTTCGGTTGGCAACCTTATGGCAAATGTGATTCATTACCACCAAATTGTTGAGGTGCTCACGCGATCGTGTTCGAAGACACTCTTGCAATCCGCTTTGAACAATTTCAAAACATGCTTTCTCCAGCTCAGTGTTGTAAACATGATTATTTCGCGATTTCATGCTCATGTTGCATATCGTATTCTCGGTCAACGAAAGTAAGCGATGATATGAAAAATCATTTGCAATGCCATTTGAATCGTTATTCAAAATTTCCCAGTCGCTCATCTCGAGTATGGCATCATCGCTTGATTTTCGATATTCGATAAAGTGTTCGATTTGTTTTGAATTAACGGATAACAATGGAATCGTAACTCTGGGTATGTTTCGAGTCTCTTCAGCATGAAGCACATCATGAAGTTGTTGCCATTCCTGTGCGTTGGCCAAACACATTGTGAGCTGATCGAAAATAAACTCTCTGAAATGCGCATCCGATTTTGATTCATCCAAATTGGCTAAAATATTCTTGTATCCCGTAGTCGCTGTTTCCAAATGACCGTTGGCTTGCTCTGAAAGAGAAATAGACACTTTTTATTCAGTACAAATTCGAAAAACAAACCAAAAATTCACATCAATTTACCTGCAGCCATTTTGATCCACATGTGTTTCTTCTTCGTAATGGCTTTTGTCCACACAAACAGTCCTTCGAGTGCATCGCCTTCTTTGTTGCGCAACAGCGCCCATGTGTGCGACATCAGCGTGTGTTCAAACAGTGGTTCGATGTGTTTGCCATTTGCAGCCAAATTTTTCAACACACTTTCCGTGTATCGAATCACCATTTCGGGTTCCATGCAGTGCAACGCGACCAAATCGACAGCGGTACGGATGCGGTTAAACCATTCACTGCAAGTGCTTGCATTCACTGAGAAAAATGTTCGTGCTGGTTTCTCGGCTGGTGGTAAACAAACTGTTCCTTCGGATGCATTATAAATATACTTTTCCAACGCTTCCATGAAGCCTAATAAAATTCGTGCATGCCGTTGATTGGCCAGTATTGTATCAACATTTGGTACTTTCAGTTTCTCTTTCATTGATAGGATTCGTGCGTTTTCTTTGATTAGTGATTCAATTTTGAGAAAGGTTTCTTGTGGCTTACCCAAAAATGTACGCAACTTATTGTTCACACACGATTGTGCCGTTTCCCACTGTGCCCACGAGATCAGCACACGCACATCGGCCATGGCCACTTTACAAAAGTCGGCCATCTCATTGAGTTTTGACTTTGATTGAACGCCTTCGCACGAATTCTGCGAATGAATAAAAATATTCTTCAAGATATTTTCAATGATTTCATATTGGTGGGTGGCCGCAGCACTTGAGTTTCTTTCTCGGATTTTAATTGCACGTATGAAATCAACAACATATTTTGATCGCATCTCACCACCACGTTGCTGGTTCGATGTGCGTAGATACCAATGTTGAATATTATTTATTTGACGATGCTGTGCTTTGGCCAAACCGGTAAATTGATTCACTTGCTTTAGCGATACATTCAGTGGCAGTTTGGCGAATAAATCCGAATATTTTTTCCGGATCAAATCATCACTGACGCACATTTTTACACAACAAATCTCCGAAATACTTTCGATAAGATCCGAATGCAGCGCATCATAGGTGAGTAATGCATCATAACAATCGGCTGCTTTCACTTGAATCTTTTTCGTTGCATGAATATCATTTGAAATGCGACTAATTGACTCCAAAATTTGCGAAAATTCCACATTATTCTTCAATATATTCGCATAGATTGCCGTTTGCCGGAATAAATTCTCACACCATTCCAACAAAATGGCCACGGAATTTTCGGTGAGCGAACGATTTTTCAGAATTTTGCACAAGTACTTAAGAATTATTTCAAAATGTCCGGCGGTGGGCGATGATTCAGAAGTCGGTTTTTGCACGGGCACATTGAATGAAGCCGCACCCGGTACAAATTCACTAAAACTACTCGCGTTCGCACTTTCGTCCAATGAAAATTTACTAAAAACATCGGTGATTTTCGTGAGCTCTTCATTCAATAGAGTGCTGGATGCAATGAAGTTATTGTTATTACGACAGTGTGAGATCAAGAGACTGACAATGGCAAAATGTGTTTCGGGATATTGTGACCACTGTACGTAATCAGCTGATTTTAACCGTTCGCTGAGCAGTTCCAAGATATTTGGTTCAAGTACCCACATCACTATGATCGATGAAGAGGCTATGGCCAACGTTGAAATCGTTCTGAGGTAAAAGTTCACAATGCATTTCGCCTGTTCTTTCGTGTAAATGGCATTCTCCATTTCATCTACATTCTCCGATTGAAGCACATTAACGGCCACCATCAAATCGTCCACAATCTGGCGATAGACTTCTTGCAGCATTTCGACACTTTTTAAATTCAACACGGTTTGGTAGATTTTTACAATTGATTTGACGATTCGATTGTTTCGCGAAAACTTGAGCTGATGAATTACGTTCGTTGATTCGATGGAGAATATCGTTTGCATGAAGGCTAACGGCACCATTGATTTTAATTCCGACACCAACTTATAAATGACAAACAGGATGATGACAATCTTTTCATCTGATGTTGCCGTTGGGCTCAAGTTATTCAGCTGCAATTCAACCGTTTCAAGAAGCATCACATCGGTTACTTCGACGCCAATTTTGCGACAGTCCAAAGCGATTACAATCAGCTCATTCACGTACATGTAAATAATATCGCATTGTTCGGGTGTATAGTGTTTCTGTGGTGCATGTTCAAAGGCTTGGATCATTTCTAAAACGCTTCGAATGATATCGGACAGCAGATCAATGCCAATGTGGTTGCAAAGCACGGCTGGAGTATCATAGATACATTTCAAAATCGAATTTGTTGCGCCAACAATAGATCCAAAGCATATCTCTGGTGTCGGTGTGCTACTACCGCTTCCTCCGGCCGCTGCTTCGATTTGGCTTTGAATTTCATCACGGTAGCTGATTATATCTTCCAGAAATTGGTTCAGTAAATTCCTTGTGAAGTTTACATCGTTCAGCCAAAATTGTTTGAATTGTTGCAAAATGAATGAGCAATGTTGTTTTATACTCAACAGTTGATTCGTTTCCAAATGCCATCCGATGACAAAGTCGACAATATCGGCAAAATGTGGTTGAAATGATTTCGGATAATTGTGAGCAAATTGTTGAATCACATTCGTAACAGCCACAAAATGTGTTGGTTTATCAGTGCCATCTAGATATTCCTTAAGCATTTCGATGATTCGATTGCAGTTATCCATGCGAATGTCACGGCTAACTGCGTCCATTTCGAGTGTTTCTTGTAGGGCTTTCAGTACATATTCACGAATGCGTTCGATTTTATGCATTTTCTGAATCCATTGACGATAAATGGAAAAATCGGATCGAACGATCCATCCCATTTTGCCAAAGACACCGGCCACATCGTTCATCGCATCAATCGGACCATCCTTAAATGTTCGTAAAATGTGATCGGAGAGAATATCAAATGATCGACGAATGTAACCGGAATTCGTTCCGTCCATGATGACAATATTTAATTTCATGCAAATTTTCCGTGCTTCGGCTGAATCTTTTTCGGTGCTTAACTGTCGCAGTAGCTTTGATATACGCATGTCTTCCGGTAAATTAGCCAGTAAATTTGTAATTTTGTTGCTGTTCAAACTTTCACCGTTATACACTCCAACTTCGGAAAGTGAGGTTATGTCGAGCAATTCCGTCGAACTATATCGCATATCATTGGACCATTGTGCTCCCGATTGTGAATTACTGCTGTTCCCCTTTGCCCCAGAGCCTCGACTCCTCGATGAACCACTGTTTGCGTTTAACAACACCACCACACGCTTATTGCTTCCATCACCATCCTTGCTACAATTTTCAAATGTTTCCAAATTAACCGCTTGTACTTCACATTGACATAATTTTATGGAATTTTAGAGCGTAACACATACCTTCGATTTCGACGTCGATCACGTCGTGATGACGATGAACTCGAGTCCTTGGAACTTTTTAAAATCGCAACTTTGCTGCCAACAGCATTATTTTCGCTCGTTCGACTCACCGAAATGACACTTTCATTATCGTCATCATCGTCCATAGCGTTAGTTGCGCAAAAATCTCCTCAAAAACCTCCCGCTAAATTGTCTCCAATCGTTAGTATTCAAAATGTTCTTAAATTGTTTTGTTTCGAAGAGAAAAACGTCATTCACAACTGAGTGTTGACTAAAATTAGAAATATTGTTTCTTGTGCAATGACAGCAACGTTTCCACTGACGTTTCACTATTTATCTGATGGACAACTGTCAACAGCATGTTATCCCATGCGTTTGAATGCGTTGCAATGCGTTTGAAAGTGGATTGCCTGATGCCATAGCATGAGCAATTATTTTTTTCGTAAACATTGGATAACCGCCGTTTTCATCAAAAACAATAGTGTGACTTTTGTGTGGAATAGGAGACTTATGGGTTTGTTTTTTTTAGTCCAATTATGGATATTATTCCTTTGTTATTCAAGCACCAAATTACTACTTATCCTGATATGTATGAGTCAATGATATCATTTACATAAATATAATACACCTTATTATTTCTAGAAGACACAGTTGTTTACTTCAGGGTGAATGAAACAGGTTCACACAGCTGGAGACCTCAAATTTACTGATGCTCTGATGGGCTGCGAAATATTATTGGAATTGTACAAGAAAAAAAAACGACGCAATTTATTTGAATAAGTAGTTTTTATTGAAGTTTTTCTTGTTGTTTTTTCATGATTCTTTTTTTTTTAAACATTTATATAACATAGAGTAGAGGGTGCTTATTGATTATACATTATGTAAGAGTTGTTTTGTGTTTGTGTGTTTGTGTGTGTGTCTGAGCCAAGAAAAAAAAATGCAGTTGCAAAATTTCGTTGACCATTATACAAAAAGGAAAATAAAACGGGTCAAAATAAAATTGTATTGTGTAGCAGTAGTAGTAATTTTTGTTTTCTGTATCTCATTTTGAAATTGGCGACATCAAAATAGTTCGATGTATTGACGGATTTAAGTTCATGTGCTTTGCAATGCTATGTGCTTTATTCTTTTTATAATAATATTCACATAAAACATACAAAGTAACTTTGTTACTATCCCATTACTCTTCTTCAACTTGATTCTTTTTTTTTCTTTCAGTCCCTAACAATCCATTTCGTATAAGAAAATATTCATTTTTTTTTTCTCTAAATTTTCAACATAAAAAATGTTGTTTCAAAAGCTGTGGCTTTTACAATCCGACAAAATAGATTTATTTATTTTTTCTTGTTGTTTTTTTATTTTATAATACAAATAACACATTGATTTTTTCATTTTCTTCATATTCTCATTCTCTTAGCCACTTAATAGGTACGTACAAATTGTGTGTGTGTGTTTTTTTATTTAATTTTCTGTTTGCTATTTTACATACACATGATATATCATAAAATTCATTTAGTTATCATATTGTTTGTATGTTTTTTTCTTTTAAATGTTATTTTAATAACAAGTAAAATGTTTTGTGTGTGTGTTTTTTTATCATCTTTGCAATGAATGTATTTTTTTCGGGATAATATCATTTAGAACTGGCTCTATCGAAATTGAAAAGGAGCAACAAAGAGAGAAAAGAAACAGAGAGAGAAAAAAATGAATAGAACAAAATGTTAAGACTTAAAAAATGGTTTCAGATGAGATCGCAATGAAACGAATCAGTTTCATTGTATTTGACTCCCAGAGAGCTAAACTAATAATCAGTAGTTCGATTCGGTTTTTTAAGTCTTTTTTATTCATGTTCCTAAAACAAAACGAACAAAAAAAAAATTGTTAATAATTTACGTAAAACTTGTTGCACATTCGTTTCAATACAAAATTTGTTTTGTGTATTTTTTTTTCTTCTTTTTTTACTTCACATTCTGTGTGTCAATGACTTGTTCCAGTTCAATATTTAATAATGCATTTTTATGTCTAGCTAATTTTTTGTTTATTTTATATCATATATTCCTACTGTCGATCTTATTCACATCACAAATTATGCATATTTTCTCTTCTATCTCTTAGAGAAAAAAAACAATCGTTTCTTTTCAATTTCAGGTTGACTTATCAACGCATATTTTCAAATACATCGAGAGATCGCATTGAAATCAGAACATTTTTCTTTCAACTTCCGTTTTGCTTGCGCTCTCAAAAAGAGCGAAGGAAAAACAATCTCATTCTTTTATGTAAAAATATATAATTTTTTTATATTTATCAAATGTTTTTTTCCTTCTCTTTTGAATTTACTGCAAATAATTCCAATCATCACATGGGTTCTTATTTTAGCCTGTCCCATTTTTTTGTTGTTATCCTACATTCATTTCTTTGACTCTTATCGACGATTTACTTCCGGCCATTGATAAATTGAAATTCCAAAACACAAGAAAAATTGATAAAAAGCGGCAGTGTTTATTGTAAACTGAATTTATAATAACACAAAAACAACGAAAGAAAAATTGAAACGATCAATCAAATCAATTTACGAAACTTTGCATCGCGCGCGCGCGAGAGAGATTAGCTATAGAAAAATATGTGTGTATTTGTGAATAAAATGAATTTATTTAATGGTTTATTGCATATTTTTGTTTGAATTTCAATAATATTCTCTTTGAATAGATGACCTACAAATAAACACATATGCCACTAACAGTGAAAGTTTATCATCATTTTCATCTTCTCTTGCAATAGATTCGTATATATCAGTTAAATCCTTTTTTCAGATAATATTCGCTAAATATTTACACAATTACAAAAAGAGAGAAGAAAAACCGAAAAAAATATATATTGGATAAAAAGTGAAATAAGATCACATAAATTCAGTTTAGATGAATTTTTGAAAGAAATAAAACTTGTTTTACTATATATTTTCTTTTAATATTTATATTCATTATATGAATGGATGCGGTCTTTGTCCTATTGGTTAAAAAACAAATCTTGTTCTTGAGAGTTTGGAAATGATGATGATTTTAATGAGGGGGGAGAGGGCAGCTAAAATAATCATCAAATGCTCTTTTCAACGAGACCAAAAACAAATGAGAGACCGATGAAATTTCATTTCAATGACAGCAAAGCAGCAGCAATTATTTTCAACTTAATTTTCTACATGAATCCAACAGTTGTGTAATTAATACGTATATGAATTGTGTATATATGAATTTCTTCGATGCTCTAGCTCAAACGCAACGATGGGTTGAAAGGTTATTACACAAATATGTCTGTCTATCTTTCTCTTCTTTTTTCTATATGAAACATGTTTAAAACAGTTTTGCGATTCAAATGGGCCTTATCACATCGATAAGAATTCAATGAATCAGTTAAAACGTACACATTTTAAATGCACTTAACTGAGTTCAGTTCGGTAGAAGGAAGTCAGTGTTTCATTATTTTTTTCTCTTCAATTTAGCCATGGAGATTTTGTTTTTTGCACTGAGAATGTTTTTTTTTTTAAATCGAAAACCACACACATACACTGTACCCCCGATTGGATCAAATCTTCAACTGGCAATAGTCAATATCATTGATGGAGATCGTGGGAGATGGGTGGTGGTGAGGAGGTTGGCATTTTAATTGGGTTTATTTTTCTTTTGGTCATCACAATGGTTTTCGGGAACGGACCACGCGCGCCGTTTTCTCGAGTGCATCGTTGCGTCGATGGCTTCATCGTCGTATGAGTTTGATGCCGAACTTTCGCTGCTCGATGAAGGTGGTGGTGGTGGTGGTGCCATTGTTGTACTGTAACCCGTACTATAATTCCGTGACGCATCTGAATTCAGTGGTCGACCATGATGATGATGATGATGATGACCATAAATTAGTTCGTTCGGGTGTCGGTGATGCATATACGATGGTTCAAATGACGGAATCGGCCAGCTGGTTACTGCCGTTCCGGTGGCTGTGGTTGAAATTGTATGAGGCATCTGTTTGCGCGACAGATTTTGCGGTGATGTAATCGAAAACTCAAGCGATGTTCTTGCTTGCTGTTCACGAGGTGTTAACGATATGCACACATCGCCGATTTCCAGTAAATTGCATTTCAATCCATGCTCATGCAATGTTTCGTCCGGGCTAAACGATGACCATCCCTTTCCATATACGAAAAACGGATGACTCGGTTGAGTGTCCATACAAATCTGGAGAAAAAAAAAAACAAACAAAAAAACGACATATAAGACGAATGTAAACCAAATTATTAATTGAAAGTATTTTTGCGATTTCACGATAAAACGTGACCTATTCGGAATAAAACTTTGAAAATGAGTTTTTTCTTGTTTTCATTGGACTTGACAATAATAATCAAAAATGAAAATAAAAATGATAAACGAAGGTGCGGCCGCCTTTGCCAAAGGCTCTATAAAATGCAAACGATTCTATGATAATTTATTGTCTATTGTTTCATATGAATTGTTTGCCGTCGTGTGTATATCTTCATATGCCCCGTCAACCTCCTCCAGGTTTCAGTTGTGCAAATTTCATTTGCCAATTCTATCCGCATTTTAATCCAATGAAATTCCATTTCGATTCTCAATGGTTGTGAGAAACTAAATGGCGTGTTCGTTTGGTCGTTTGCAAAAGCGAACACCCGAACATCATCTCAATATTGATTTTATTCGGAGCACGTATTAGACACGTGTTCAACATTCGCAAGCAAGAAATATGCAAACAACACACCATTTTACAATTGCTCGAAAATTATTTTATGACTGAAACAGCAAACGTTAAATTGGTCGTATCGAGCTCATCTCTTTCTCTCCCGCGTGTTCTCTCCATCAGCAACCAATTTCAATGTTGTTCGAATGCGGAAAAATGAAAATAAGCCACGCGTCAAAATATTTTGAATTATAATGGAAATTGGTATGTATCTGACCCCGTTTTGTATGCCGCACTTCTTTTTTTCCCGTTCAGCTCTACCATCGGAATGTTTGTTAACTTTACATTTCCAATGTTGCACGCTGTGTGTTTATTAATATCTAATTTGATCCACCCCCTCGTGTACACTGTACAGTCGACTCATTTTGATATGAAAAATGGAAAAGTTATTATTTACCTTGTTATTATTATAGCTCAACGTGATTAGGACTTTAGTTTTGGATTGTGACGTCATTTTAACGACCGTTGTGTCGATTAATTGTAGATTTGGATTTTTGCTGGACGATGTGATGAAATCTTCTGTACGCATGTCTTCGACACGTCTCAATTCACCGCTAGACAGTTCAATGAGTGTACCTTTGCTGAAATTTGTTGCACTACTGTTGCTGTTGTTGTTGCTGCTGCCGTTGGTGTTGCTGCTGCCGTTTGTGTTGCTGCTAGTGCCCAGATTCTTGTTTTTGCTGCTTGCATTATTGTTGTTGTTGTTGCTGCTGTTGCCGTTGTGGTTGCTGTTATTACTGTTGCTACTGTTATTGTTCTTGATTTTGACCGATGATCTGTAAAATGAGAAAATTGAAATTGGCACATGCCGATTAGTAAATGGTGTTAATTTGCGCAAAATGAAATGGATAAATGGAATGAATTGAGACGTCGATGTGACATACTTTGTGACAGTATTGTTTTGACTATGTGTCGGCAGTGATTGTTGTTTTTGGATTTGTTTCGCTGTCGATTCTTTATCGCCGTATGTCGGTCGCGTAAGGATGCGATGCTTCAATGAGCCTTCTTTGCCCGACGGTATTTTAAAATCAGCCGACTTTCCATTCGATATTATTGACTCTTTTTCTTTGGCCTCCGTACGATACGTGCTAAGTGGCTTTGCCACCGATGTAATGTGTTCGGGTTTCAAGTGATATTGTTGGTGTTCACGTTGTTCTCGTTGGTGTTGCTGGTGTTGCTGGTGTTGCTGGTGTTGCTGCTGGTGCTGCTGTTGCTGCTGTTGTGTGAACATCGACGGAGGTGACCCTGATGAAGCTATACGAGGAACAGAATGGAGAGGGAAAATCAATCACGTTTTGTTTCCATTCGGATTGAAGGGATGGTAATGTTGGTGGTACACATACCTGGTTGTGCTGAGATCGAGGTATTGTTACTATTTTGTGATGCTGATCCAACGGTTATTGTTCCGATTGGCGAATGTGGAGATAAATTCGGTCGTGCTGCTGCTGGAGGACTGTAGGCATTCGGACCGAATAAGTACGGATTCGAATATGCGGATTCTACATGCGGATACGTTGCAACACCGTGATGTAATGGATTCCGTGCACCTCCTAGCGCATGTGATGATGGTGCTGCATAAATTGAATGTCTAAAAAATGGGAATTTTTTCTTTTCATCAGTAAAAAATGAACTAAACGTATGCAATCACAAATCATGAAAATTTATCGGCTAAACTGAATTTGCGCATTTTTTTTTTTAAATTAAAACTAGCTAGATGACGTGTGATGGAGAGGGAACAAGGCTCAGATAGAAACTCACCCATAAACTGAACCATTTGTTGGCCTCGCATAGAAATTGGGATAATATAGAGGTGTTGCATCTGGAATTGAATGTGGTGGACAATACGGCATTTTGTGTGGCTGGTAAAGGCTTGCAATCGAACTACTAATCGCATCCTGTTCACTTTCCAACGATGATGGCTTTGCAGCTGCACACAGTGCAGCTACATCTCTATCGGTTGGCTTATGGCCTAACACTAGAGCACCATTATCCGACATCGATTGACTCACAGCCAAATTAACTGGTGCCGGTTGGTCTAACTGGGAGTATCTACCTCGTGATGATGGCGAAGACAGGCCATTCCGTAACGACTGGCTGCCATTGTAACTGCTGAAGCAGCACGAGAAAAATACGAGAGAAATGTCAGGATAAATTCAATTATTGAATAAACATTGAAAAAGTCTGTGGCAGAAGAATGAACAATGCAAACACATGAGCTGAACAGACAAAAAAAAAACAACGCATTATGCAAACTTACCGATTTGGTTTTGGATGGGGTCGTACAAACTCAGTAGCTGACATAGGCGTTGGTACAGCAACGATCGGACACGGGGCTGCAATCAAATTACTATTTGCACTGATTGCAACGGCACTATTATTGTTGTATGGATGATGTGCACCGGTCGCGTATAACCTGCTTGGTCCAAAGTGATTCTCAACAGCAGATAACATCGGACAAACAATTATCACACATTTACTTTAGAAATAAATCAAATGACCACCTCGTGAAAAATAAAGATACGTATTTATGTTTTCTTTGGCGCAACGAATTTTGATTTTTGATTTGTTTTATTTTTCCCCTTTTTTTCTTTCACTTCTTTACCACTCAACTAACACAATGACAAATGAGTAATTTTTTTTTTTTCACTTGAATAAATTATCAACGTGTTATTAAATGCGATAGCCACGAAAACAAACACTTGGATATATCATGAATTATTGTCACAGACAAATTGCAGGTGTGCTGCTTTATCGTGTTATACCCACTGTCGAGCTATATACAGTTATTCAATCTGCAAAAGAAAATAAAGAAAATATCGATAAAAATTGGTGAATATATTCAATGTCAATGCGATAAAGTTGATGAATGTGTTCTCTGTATCTGGGCATTTGAAATTAATAATTTTCAGAATTTCCATCGATATTAATCACTTTGGTGCAGTTAGAAACGGCATACTTTTTGATAAGCTATTGTTTTTATCATTCAATAATTTTACCGAAATTTCAATTAATGGCAATTGATTGTGTGTACCCTGTACCTGTGTGTGAAATGAGAGTGAATGAAAAGAAGAAATTGTTTGCGCACAAGTCGTGTGTGTCCACACACAGCTGAATGTCATCGAGAGAACGACAACGAAACCAGTCGACATGATAAGATAGGGGACAAGCGAAGAAGAAAAAAAGAAACGATATATATTTTAGAACGATATCAATTGTTTTTTTTTTTATGTGCCGTCGTCAAAACACGAGAATGCGACGGCGGTCTATGTGTACCGTGCAATCTAGTATCGAAACTTTTCAAGCACCCGACACAAGAGCGTTGCTTTCAACAAACAAAAAGGCAATACAGCTCGTGAAGACAAAACTTTTGTGCTGCATAGCAGTAATTAATCAATTGATATGACGCAATAGATACTACAAGCTCTTTGTCGATATCACAAACGGAAGGGGGCAAGGAGGGGAGGCCGTGTGTGTATGTGTAGGAGCAATTGACGAAATGGGAAAAAAAGGTGAAGAGCCTTCAAATCGTGTGTTGTATAATTCAATTGTTCATTCTGTTTTGTTGTTATCAGTGAACGCAACAATGATAATGTCAAGACCCCGTATGACATACGGCTGTTTCATTTGCAAGTCTCTAATTGAAATAGAGTTCCGTGCGGGAGTGTGTACAAACAAAAGTAGCTGTTATTGTTTGTTCTGCTTGTCTGAGCTGGATTAGTATCGGTAGACTTATTGAGATTTGCCAGAAGCGCAGAATGAAGCAGAGGGAGATAGAGAAAATGACAAGAAAATAAACGGTAGTGTGTGAGATTTTGCCCTAACACGCTGTTCCCATTCATGTTTATTGATGCCACGTCCTCACAACGGTTGTGTCATTCAATGTGTCCCACTACTCTCCACTATTTACGGGGTGATAGATAAGCCGTGCGCGATGAACAGCATTATCTGTCAACGTTCGCTTTGTTTTCACTATTCATCCATTAAAATGAATTGTAATTACAATGTTAAACGGGAAGATAAACAGTCAAAGATTAAATTGCTCAAATGGATTAGAACGAAGAAAAAAAGAAATTAATGACAACAGCAGAGAAAGAATGAAATGTGAAAATGAAGCCCCCAATCGACAACCACTCATGATTTTCAATCTCAAGTACGTTTCTACATTTCTTTTTATAACATTCGCAAGCTAGAAAGTGTGTTGATAAGAAAAGTCAATAGGGATTTTGAAAAGTTGCTTTTTTTTCACTTCATTACTGTCACACCATGGCTGCTGCTGCTGACGACAACTTTTCAAATAGCTCGCCATGTGTTTGTGTGTGTGTGTGTGTTTGTCTGTACAGTGCGCTGATTACAGAAAGGGCATTTGACTTGAACACACGACTTCAACGAATTCGTATGAAATTCATTTGACTCACTACTATGGAACACCCTTTGACAGAGGCTGCCCCGGCTCGACAATTGTCGTGCGTTTTAAAATTATCACAAGCAGCTTTTATTCATACATAGAGTTCGATAACACTCGAAATCGTGCTTGTTTCCATTGAATCATTTACAGCCGAATGAACGACGAGTTAATTACGGTTTGTAATTTTATATTTATATATCGCACGAACCAATGAATATTTATCATGCTGGGGTTAGCCATTTTACAATCATTATTGCCCACTTTTTGATTACAAAAAGTGTTGAGTGACATTATCGAAAATTCAAAACACTTGGTAATCGAGTAAATTGATGAATGTCATACGTTATGACTTGTGGAAAATGTTTCATTTTCACGTGGCAGAGAAAATGCGTTCAGTGTTCCATTCCTCGAATCAACCCCATCCATAACATAATTTATTCACCGAAATCTGAATAATTGCGACGAACAATTATAAAAATGTTCAAATTGTATACGTATGTTTGACGTAGGTTACATTCGGATTCTTGGTGCCGATTCCACATAAGGAAAAAAAAGCACCTCTCTCACATTCAACATTTATCCAACGGTTGTGTGTCTATGTGTGAACGCGCTTGTGTATTTCGAGAAAACTGAACCGAATAAATAATGGAAATGTTTACAAAAGGAATAAAAGAAAAGCGGTTCTCAAGGTCATCAAGTTTAATAAATCACATGCGATGACGTCATGGCTTCGCTCTCTCACTCGTTTCGTGTGTATGTGCGCTATGGTTTGCTGTCGCGCCAGGCGATTCGCATGAGAAATAGGGAAATTCCGTCAAACACACACACACATACCGAAACCATGCCACGACACTGCCGAATGAACACACACACACACACACTGAACTCTGGCTTTTGATTTTGCTTGCCGAGAGAGAGAGAGGGAGCGAAAATGAACGAAAATAAAAACGACGACGACGACGACAACGACGAAAAAAGGGGGCCGCTTATAACATACAATATAGATATATATCGTATATTTTGGCGTAGAAACGGAACATGAACTGGAATGCAGTGCGCATTAAAACTGAATGAATGAAGCCAATTGTATACACACATCGCACAGCACCGTCGCTGTTGCTTCTGCTGCTGCTGCTGCTGCTGCTGTTGCATGGCAAACGCGAATTCTTATGAATGGGAGTGTTTTACAAGGAAAATGTGAACAATATGTATAAATTATTGGAATCGCATTGTAAATGCCACCTTTTTTATGTGTGTAAGATTCAGTCGCTGTGCGGTCAATATACAAGAGAACGACGCAAAGGGGTTTTTTCCCGTCTTGGTTTATTATTTGCATACTTTTGTTATTGCATCTAATGAAATAAAAATGTGCTCGCATTCACAGCATACACGACCTTTTTTTTGTATTCACACATTTCCAAAGAACTCAAGTGTGTCTATTTTTTTCTTCTTCTTCTCAAACATGATCATTTCCATAATAATTGTATCAGTTCAATTACAGTCACATCATCATTTCCACAAAATTGCTATTGTTTAAACATTAGAATACTTTCGATTGTTATCAAAATAATAAACAACACGACGTAATTCGTCGACCGAGACAATAAAAAAAACCTCCACGCGAAGAAGAAACATTCAAAAAAATCATACGCACGTATTATCGCATATCATTCGCACCAACAAAAATAAACAATGTCTGGTGGCTATTCTGGTGGTGTTATTGTAAATGTGCGTTTCGTATGAATACAAAACTAAACGTGATTGTACTCAATTACTTGATAAGAAAACTACGCAAAATCAACTATTCAAATCACGACCCATTGAAATCCACTCGTCTCTCTTTCTCGCTGCCTTTTTTTTCTATTTATACAATTCGCGTCGCAAGCTTGTCGTGCATGCGTGTGACATCGAGTGCTTGGTGTCGCGACTAATAGGCTAAATAATAATGAACTATGGGTAATAGCGGATAATTTACGAGCCAATACAATCACACACACAAACACCTTTCGTCATGTATGAATAATAAAACACCGTCGATTGGTTGTCTATTTCGTCAATATACTCAAATGTTAATATTTTTCCTAAATGGCCAATTTGAATTTATAATAATTAAATAAGCGACAACTTTTATTTCTTTTTTTTCTCGATTTCTGAGGTACACATTCAGAATCTATAATAATTACGTCTTTCCTGATCAGCTTATTTGAATGCTTCGATGCTAACATCAGCCAAACACCATACTAATGACTTTGTTTGGCTCATTAAAATTTTAAGCGAAAGATAGAGCGTCGAGGACCGTGCACATGATTTAAAAAAAAGGTAAGACGTGCGCGAAACGTGAACCAAATTGAAACTACCGATTGAATGCAGGGCACAAATGGATTTATCAATTTGGTTCCTTTTTTTATCTGTCTCATTCTCTGTTGGGTCGGTCGCTGCATGGGACATAATCACAAAAAGAGAACAAAGGAATTTCGAATAACAAACAAAGCCTAAACAGATATAGAAAAACAGCGGCAACGTCGACGACGACAGTAACAATAAAAGTGGCGATAGGAAAGAGGACAAACGAATGAAAGAGAGACAAAAAAAAAGTCTCAACAAATTTTTAGAATCAGCTACTACAATACGCACACCGCGCGTACTCAAACACCTCTTATCGCGTTTGCATTGCCTTATGTTTGTTAAATATTTTACAAAATGAGAAAAAAATTAATGAAGAAAACGTGCGACAGCTTGTAGACATTGTGAATGCCTGTTTTTTTCCTTTTCTCTCTTTTTCTCCTTCTCTCTTTCTCACTCAGTTATTGTTGCTACTTTTGGAATGTAGTCAGGAAATTTGGAGCGTAAAAACGGTTGAATAAATCAGAATGAGTAACGTTGCTCACATTCGTAGACGCACATCAATTGGCTCGTAAATAGTATGTTGGTGCGAAATATAACCGAATAGCCTGGTGTCCGAGCCGCCATCATCGTCATAGTAAGTCATTGGCTTTCGTGTGTTAGCATCGTAAATTTTACACGTACGCAAAATAAAAACCATCTACGAATCATACACACACACACGAGAGAGAGAAAAAACTTTATTTTTAAAATGTTAATTAACGTGAATGGGCGAAGTGACGCGATTTAAAATCGTACACTTTGCACACCCTGCACCGCTTCTTCGTCTCTCTTACTCGCTCGCCATTAATTCTTGCCTATTTTTATCAATGTGTTTTTGCTTTTATTTTTTTTTTCTTCTTATTGAGATATTTTTATGCATGTACAACGGCGCACAACTTCGCGCACAATGATTTATTTTTGATTGCAATTATTTTCGGTATGAGAAGCGAAAATAATACGAACAAAAAAATAAAACAAGAAACGGAATTTTCGTGATTCGAA